ACCGGCGTGAACTTTCTTCCGTGTTCCGTGTCTCTGATACTTTACAGAAGGCGACATGTGTTCTGTTTTCTTATCTCGTGAAGTAAAATAACTGTGTGATTGTTAGCCTTACTTGCTGACCACTCCTAAGTGCACTGTGCGAAAAGAGAAAGCAGCTCTACGGTTATGAGTAAAATGTGACGTCATTGGCTGTTTCGTTCTGTCACTTCCGAGAAATGGTGATATCAAGTCGAAATACAAACTTAACAGTGTATCAAGTATTGTTAACCCAACGGCAGGATAATGTTTTAACCATGGAGTATTAGTGTTTGGAAGAAAGATCGCGCAAACTTTCACATCCTGGACATTCCTAAATCACTCCACGTTAAACTGAATCTCGTCTCAACCTCCAAGAACAATTCCCCTTCACCGATAAATAGACACCAAAATACACCCCGGAGTAAAAGCGAGACAACGCATGCAAGCATTTAAGTGAATTTTCATCGCTTCTACAAAAAGAGGCGGAAAATAACAAAAAGAGCGAGGTTTCTCCGCTCCTTTAGTGAGATCTCCATCGCTTCCCGAAAGTAGGAAAAAAAATAAACGACCTGCATGCGTCGCAGAGTGATCTTCAGCACACCCACAAAAAGAAGCAAACAAATACAAAAATAAATAAATAAAAAAGAGCGAGGTTCCTCCGCTCCCACGCTAAGATCTTCAAGTGAAAGAAACAGAACCGAAAAGGACCTGCAAGCATCATTGCGAGACTTTCATCGCACCTGCAAAATAGAAAAAGCAAAAGGAAAGGGGATAAAATAAGTAAAAAAAAGAGCGAGGGTCCTCACGTCCTCCGCCCTGGTTCCTCCTTCTGGTTCCTCCTCCGTCCAGTTCCTCCATTCCTGTTCCTCGCTGGCCAATGTTTGTGTTGTGTTGGTGGGAACATGGCGCGGGTGACCATCTTCAGCTGCGCCTGTTGTCTGAGAGCTCTATGGACACCAGAAGAGGTAAGGGAAGTGTGACGGTGGTCTAGCCAGTGTTTTCAGCACCCTTTTCTTGCCTCTGACGAAGGAGAAGGGTGAGTAAAGGGAGAGAAAGGGTGATAACTGGAGAGAGGAAGTGGTCGTTCCGAGCGACTGAGAGAGTTTCAAGACGAGATGTCCACAGGCCGAGATTTTGTCATGAATTATTTTAACGTTGCATGGCTATTTAGGGCAGTGCATGGTATATTCCAAACAATTTTAGAGCCGGACATGTAGTTGGAATTGCCAGGAGATTGTGCAGGAGTGTGTTTTCCGGGAATGCCAGGTGTGGAATATGGTGTTATGGTGAAATGTCAGGTATGAAATGTGGTGGTATGGTGAAATGTCAGTTGTGGAATACAGTGTCATGGTGATCAGTTGGGTGTGGAATATGGTGTTTTAATGAAATGTACAGAACAATTATAGTGGCTTTCAACTGACACTGAGAACCATGGGAAGTGAACTTGCCAGTGTTTTGGTGTGACTATTTCTTTGGAATAATATATGCAAATCTTGATGGATCTTGTGCTTCTGAACTGTTGGACTGTGAGTGAAGTGTGAGATGTATGTGAAAATGTTAGTGATCAAATTCATTGTATTTGGAAAGAGTAGATTGTAACTTATCTGAAAGAGAGTAAAATCTAAAATTTAGATGTGTAGTAAATAATTAAAATTATACTACAACAGTAGACATGTCATTAATCTAAATTATTGAAAGAATGGTTTTATATGACTTGTCATAAAAATGGATCATAATTCAGATTTATTCACTGTCTATCTTCAAGTCTCATTTGCTGTATGTTCGTATGCAGTGTTGAAGTGATGTAATAAGGGTGATATCCATTTAAAATGATTGAATAACATACAACTACGTATTTTTAGTCAAACAGTATCTTTTTCCAAGTTTCTCAACAACCTTGACACGACTGTTGTCAGTAATCAACTGCCCTTGTAATTTACTATTGTAATGCGTGAAATTGCATTATTTCATTATATATCATTATGCTCATCTGCCTTTTTGTTTACAAGTTCTTTATTGATGTTAACACATTGATGCCAGCTTGTATATGTGTACCATGTCCATTGTGATTTAGTCTACTAATTTGGAAACATAAATGGATCCACAAGAAGTCAGTTACTGAGAATCAATTACTTGTCCTACCTATCTTGCCTGTATATCTGTTTCCTTGATTTTCGTAAGTATTTTGTAGTAATAGCATCAGAGAAAAGTGAATCCCAAAGATTTAAGGAATAAGAATGTTATGTGAGGCCACAGGGGATACTAATTAGCTCCATGGTGACTAAGCACTTGTATAGTCATCTGTATGTAAACAAAACTTGCTACACAAAAATACTGTGGACGGTATGTACCTGGTGCCAAGGGGTTAGAAATGTATTTTTAAAGAACAGTATATGATCTGTAGAATTAGGAACAGTGGGGTTGGATTTTTACTTCTCATACCTTTTTTTAAATGTTTAGTAGGGATACTTTATTTGATACT